TAGGACAGTGGATACAAATTCATATTTCAAATAATCTTCATATTTTCAGATTATTTTGGCCTACTTCTGTCAAATCTGATTAGCTCATCATGGTTTTTTACCTTACAATGTGGCTGACAGAAAAGCTTCTAACTAGCAGTAGGAGAAGTGAGAATTCTGCTATTTTTTAGTTTTTCCCTTGTGCTCATAATTATTAGTATTATTTTCACTCTGCAGTTTCTTTGCAGGAATCTTTTTAACCTACATGTCCATTTTATAAGGGTTAGTTTAGCTAAAAATCACAATCTGTAAATCTGCTTAACCTGTTCCACATAAATTACAATAGGCTGCAACCTGCTGAAAGTAGAGGAATGAGGATGATCATGTCAATGTTTCTGAGTTGGGAAACTCTCCCTCTTCTCTCAGGATACCTTGTGACATGTGGGAATAATGAATCAGGGCACTGGTGTCAATCTACATTTTAAATAATAGTAAAACTTAATTTCCTTCTTATTAGATTAAAAAATATAAAGAGAACTTGTAATATTGTTTCCAGGACTCCAATGGTTCATCTTCTATATTCCACAGCCCCATTTTGGAGACTGCTGTTCCAAACCATCCACTTTAAGCACTGGATGATATGGGTTTTATATACTGTATTTTACTGTGCTTTGGTCTTCCAATGGAGCCAGGCTTTAGTTAGGGCCATGTCTTAACCTCTGCTTTATCCCTCACACCCTCACAATACCAGCCCCATTCAAGGTGGACAGTAAGTAAGCATTCACTAAAGGCCATTCCAGCTCTTGCTACCAGTGACTATGTGGCCCCAAATCCCACCATTGCACCTTTTCGGTCTTTTTTGCCAGATCTATGATTTTATCAACATAGGGAACTTCCAGTGTGGAAACTCCCTCTACAGATATGGCAACTGGTAAAGAGTTTTAAAAGGGCTGCCGGAGGTGCTATGGGGTCTGATGACTTGCTTACAATCTCACATTTTGTATTGGTCTGAGATAAGATTCAAACTCAGGTTTTCCTGACTCCAAGGCCACCCCTCTATCCACTACAGCACTCTTCCTCTCACTGACAGCAAAGAAAAGTGTTACCTGGAATGGAGTCGGTTGCCGAGGCAGAAGAGAGAATTTTAATGCCGGAATCCTGTGTTTATAAGGCACCTTCTTCTGAGGGGCCTTACAGACCAATTAATCCTCACTCTAGCACAACTTTTCAAATGGGGCAAAGGAAAGCTCATCCAAGGAAGTGCCAACTGTCCTGTCTAAGACAGAAGAAAGAAAAGAAACCAAGTTTCCTGACTCCTTCAGTACTTCACCTCCTCGTGCCAGTCAGGACCAGCTGGGTCAGACAAGGTGTGACCGGGCAAGCACTAAACTGGCCCAAGCTTCAATGTCCTTCCTCTTCCTAGGCAATGGGAGGAAGGGACTGGAGGTGGGGGAGGAGGAAGAGCTTAGTAGGTCTACATTTTCCCCTCCTCCTACCTTGCTCCCAGGACTGAGGCCTCACTTTGGTGTATACAGATATATCTGAAAGACAAATATGAGAACTTTATCACAGTTCACCTATGAATACACAGAAAGCGGAGTCTGGGCCCTCTCCTTAAAAAAAAAGTCTATAACACAATGATTTATTCAACAAGCATTTATTAAGCACCTACTAAATGCCAAAGACCAAGAACTATGCTAGTCACTGAGAAAACAATGGAAAAACAAAAACAGTCATTGCTCTCATGGAGCGTATATTCTACTGGGGAAAACAGTATGTACATAAATAAAAAGAAAATACAACCCATATACAAAGAAACATACAGTAATTTGGGGGAGAAGGAATCAAGGAGGTCTCTTTCAGTTGGGCCTTGAAGGAAGCTTATCAATGAAGGAACTTGGAGGGGCAGAGAATTCTCCATGCTGGGAGGAACATTTAAGAGAAGGAACTAAAAAGTGTAGAACAACGCCTGCTTTAGCGCCTGCCATCCCTCCTCAGCCCTGCTGCCTGGCCCCAGATCCACGCAGATAATGCAGTTAGTATGGAAGTCAGGCTGGTACGGTAGAAAGAATACTGGCTTTGGAGTCAGAGAACCTGGATTCAAATCCCCCTCTGACCTCATTACCTACGTAAACTTGGACAAAGCATTTCCCCTCTCTAGGTCTGCTTCCTCCTCTATCAAATTAGGGGGTTGGACTGTGATCCTGTCAAAGACCTGGATTTTAGTCCTGGCTCTTCCATACGCTAGCCATGTGATCTTGGGCAAGTGAGTTCACCTCTAAACCACAGTCTCCTCATTAATAAATTATGGATAATAATATTTGTCTGATCTATTCCTCAGGCTGTAGTGAGGATCAAAGTATGAATGAGAAGCAGTTTGAAATTCATAAAGTAAAAAACAAAAGCGAAATAGGATTATTATTAGCCCCTGTAATGTAGAGACTACCACATGAGTGAACACACTGCAAATCTTGTAATAAAACACACCCAGTCATTCGCACCCAACCCTACCCCACAAGCTTGGCTATATTACCTCATGGCCCCAGGTCATTCTCTCTTCTCTTTCAGAGTTCAGAACTTGGTCTCAGTTTTTTACCCAAACTCCTGCCCTTGTATTTGAGGACTTCAATATATATATTGATGATCACTCAAATACACTGACCTTCCGGTTCATCAACTTCAATCCCCATGGGTAGGTCAATGAGAATTTATTAAAGGCTTACTTCTACCTGCTAGGCATTGTGCTAAGCAATGCAGATACAAAGAAAGTCAAAAGCACTGTTCCTACCTTCAAGGAGCTCACATTCTACCAGGAAAGATAACATATGAATAACTAGGTACATATCAGTTATAGAGAATAGATAGAAAGTAACTCATAGTACTCTATTTCCATGATCAAGAACTTATGCTTAGCAGTGTCTGGTATATATTAAGTATTATATAAATGTTGGCTATGATGATAATTTATTTTTATATATAATTTTCCATAGAGTTAATATATAATAGTTTATGTAATTTATCACTTATCATTTAATTGATTGATAATAATATAATTTATTATTTATCATCATCTTCATCATCATCTTCAGACTCACCATGAACTCCAGTCCCTCCATCTCTCAGTGCTCTTTCTGGACCACTATTTTTGTTTTAACTTCACTTCCCAATCTTTACCCTATAATTAATTCAACTAAATGTCTTGTCTTCCAACCATCTCCGAATTCCTTATGTACCCATGTCCAATCGGTACTCAGGCCTTGTGAACCCCATTCTGAATTACACCTTCCCTGTTCCTAGTCAAAAGCTGCTCACTGGCGCTGGAGGAAACCATTATGAATTTCTATTATCTAATATCAGCTAAGCCCTCATTTCCCCAAAGTAATCCTTTGCCTCATCCCTAAGTAACATTTCACATGGTGGTTGTTGCAAAGATCTTCTCAGACTCCTGAACTAACCCCCTCAGTACCTCTCAATTTATACTATGACTATGACAATATGAATGGAAAGGATAACAACAAAAATGGAAACTGAGAGATCAAATTTGGCCTCAAAGAAGAGACATGAGAAAACAATTCTCCACACCTCCTTTGTAGAAGGGAGGTCCATAGCGATGGACTACTACATACAACATCAGTCTTTTTTTTTTTAATGTGTTGATTAGTTCTGGGAGACTTCTTTTTCTTTCTTTTTCTAGTCTTTATTATAAAGGATGGTTCTCTGGGAGTGGGAGGGTAAGGTTATCCTGGAAAATGTAAATGATATAAAACCAAAAAAAACCACTAATATATTTTTGTTTTTGTTTTTATGAATTTCAAACTGCTTCCCATTCATATTATTTCCTTTGATCCTCACAACAGCCTGTGGAGTATGTATATAAAGAAAAAAACAAAAAACAAAGCCCAGAAGTTAATAAGCACTTTCTTGTCTCCTAGTCTACATCTCAAAATTCCTTGACACTTCTCCCTCCCCTCTTCCCCTGCCTCAAGTGCCCTTCCTCTCTACCGAGGCCAACTTCTCTATCCTACCCCTTCTTCTGTCTACTAGAAGCTTGACCTCCACACCTCTTCCTTTCTAACTTTGAATTTCTCCCTATCTACTGCTTCTTTTCCTGCTGCCTACAAATACACCTGGATTTCCCCCACCCTTAAAACTCTCACTTAACCTTGCCATCCCCACAAGCTATCTAGTCAAATTCCTAGAAAAAGCCAACTACATCCCCTTGCCTCTGTTGCTCCTCTTACTCCTTAACCATCTGCAACCTGGATTTCGACCTCATTCACTTGGAACTACTCTCTCCAGTCATCATCTTAAAAAATATTATTGATACCTTTTGCTTTTACATCCTCTATTTAAAAACACTATGAAGCAGGGAAAAAAAAAACAACATCTGAAGTTACTCATCTTGGTGGAAAGGTTTTTAAGACAGCATATGAGCTCCTTGAGGGTAGGGACTGTCTTTTGCCTCTTTTTGCATCCTTAGAACTCAGTATAGTGCCTGGCCAATAGTAAGCACTTAATCAATGTTGATTGATTGATTGAGCATGTAATCTAGGGTTAATGGCTCCTTCCCATAAATTCAAAGAGAACACAACCAAACCAATTTAAGACTCTTCTCACCGGAGTCAAGGGAGACCAGAGAGACAAAATTTCACAGAGAGCCCCTCTTTAATCACTTAAATGTGGAGTGTCCCTTCCCCATTCTTAGTAGGTCAACTCTCTGCAAAGCTAAGTTTGGGCTGACTGAAAGCCTCCTGGTTTATATTCATCCTCCCGCCTGACCCCACAGGCCGCACATTTACCCCCACCCTACCCTCTGTATTTCTATCCAACAGATACGTAAGCATATTTGCCCCTCTATGTTTTCCATGGGGACCCCTACAATCTATCAAGCACTAATCCCAAGCCATCCTACTCAGGGGGGTCATCCTAGGGTCTCCTGAGGTGGAACCCAGTATGCTCCAGATCTGATATCCTGCTATCTTCTCCCTAGCCCAAGCTGGGAGCCCCAAGTACAGACTTACTGTTGCCAGTGGGTATAGATGTCCAGAAGGGTCACTGACGGTGCTGGGAAAGTTTTCTGTGCAGAAACAGAAGAAAAAGGATTAACTGCACATAATCAGAAAGGGTACAACAGAAGCAGGGGGAAAAAAAAAGAAATGGATGCTTCCTTGGATTCACTACTGCTTTAGCACCTAAAGGAGAAAAGCAACCAACCTTTGAGCTAAAAAAAAAATGGTTTAGGTATTATTGTAACGTAAGATGAAAGGGTAAAATATCTTTAGGAAATGCCTATCCACACCCTTATAACTAATGCATCAAGCAGGGGATAGGACCTGATGAACTCTATAACTCCTTCCCACTTGAGGCCACCTGAAAAACAGCTATAAAAAAGGAGTAAGAATTGGATAAAATGGCTGGTCTTGGATGGATGTTAGCCTCTAAGGCTCTAAACGGTGATGACAGCCGATGCTAAAAAGAGCAGGATCTGCCACATAATAGGTGAGCAAGAAAGGAGACAGGGTCCATGGACCCTGCCCATCACCTGCCTGAAACCAAAGCAGGAGGAAGAGCCCAAGGGAAAACATTTTAAGATAACTCACGAGAGAAATAAAAACAAAAGCCTTAAAAGGATACATCCGATTTCATGTGAATCTCACAGAAACCCTGTGAAATAGGTCATGGGACCATTAAGCCTTGATCATTCCCTAATCAAAAAGCTAGTGAGTTGCAGAAGTGGAATTTGAACTCAAGTCTTCCTGACTCAAAGTCTAACCACTATACTGTTCTGCTTCTGACATCTTTGAGGTAAGAGGTGCCCAATAGTATGTCTAGAAAACCCTCTCCTTCCTATCAGTTCCAACCCTAAATGCTGAGAAGGACAACACTTGGCATAGGGACAGGAGAAGTGGAGCCTGGAGATTTACAGCCAATTTCCATTCCATTCCTGACTTTTCATGAGATAGCTCATTCTGGTTTCACTGGGTAAAGCAGAGCTCAAGTATCTAGTGACTGGGCACCAAGCCCCCACCCTACCCTCCACAAGCCCTCAATCCATCTCCCTACCAAGGACAGAAACATAAGAGAAAATGTGTAATCGACTTAGCTTACTTCTGGAGAAAATGAAGCCACGATGGTCTCTCTGGCTCACAGTTCACAGGCCCCAACTCTCACCAAGCATCATGAAGTCCCAGATGTCAGGTCCAGCCCTTCAAATACTTTTTGGCTATGTCCCAAGGACATCCAGAGTAAACAGAAGCCCAGACACAAGGGTGGGCCTTACAGTTTTCAGAACAGAAGCCAAATGAGGAATCCTGACTCTATCCCTAACAGTGTGATTTAGTGGATAATATTCTATACTTGGAGTAGCTGACTGAGTTCTGCCTTTGTGGAACCCTGGTCAAGTCACTTAACTTCTCCAGGCCTCAGTTTCCTCATTTGTAAAATAGGGACAATGCCCACAGTACTTACATCTTAAGGTTGTTGTCAGGTTCGATAGAGCAAAAATCTTAAAACCAAAACCTTAAATGTTAATTATTCTTAATCCAATTCCTTCACAGATCCTGTGAACTGAGGCTTACTTATGTCTAATACTCATTCACTTATTCTATTTTTTTTTCATTCACTTACTCTAAAAATAGCTGCTGTTCAGTCATTTTGGTCATGTTCTACTCTTTATGACCCCGTTTGGGAATTTCTTGGCAAAGATAACGGAGTGGTTTGCCATTTCCTTCTCCAGCTTAAAAACATCTATTAAGTACGAACTGTAAACAGGGCACTTTATTAGGTACCAGGGAAGACAGAACATTTAGGTAAGACAGCACAGGGCACTGGACTTGGAATCAGGAAGACCTGAGTACAAATCTCACCTCGGACACTGTCCAGTCATGTGATGATGGACAAGTCACAACAGTTCAGTGCTTTAGTTTCTCAAGTATCAAATGTGAGGGTTGGACTCAATGGAATCTAAGGTTCCCTTCAGCAATAGATCTATAAAATTCTATGATCCCTTGTCTTGAAGCAGTAATCCAATGAGGGGCAACAACACACAGTAATTGCACTTGCAAAGGTACAAATCAAAGTGAGATGTGAAATCCCAACAGTGCTGTTACCAAATGGAGACTTCAAACAGAGTGGGATTTCACAATTTAGAATTCTGCAAAGAAAGTTACTCTAACGACCATTTCCTCTGACCCAAAGATTCCACTACAGGGGTTCAGTGACAAAAGGAAAGGACTTACACAACAAAATGATGATAATGACACTTTTTTGCAGCAGCAAAGAGCTAGAAATAAAGCATATGCCCATTGATGAGGAATGGTCAAATGAGCCATGACAGCACAGCAAGAAACAATGACTGTGAGGAACACAGAGGAGCAGAGAAAGAAGCATGAACAGATGCAAAATTAGGTAAACAAAACCAGGAAAACAAAACACACAATAGCAACGAAAATAACAATCAACAGTGAATGTCCTTTTATCATAGTAAGACTATAATAACCAAGCTTGGCCCCAAAGAAGATAAATGACAAGACACTTCCCTTCCCCTAGAAAGAAGTAGAGACCATGGGTGTGGAATACGTAACAGTACCTGGCACACAAATGTTGACTAATACATCAGACTTTTATTGATATGTTGGTTAGGTTTATGGAACTTCTTTTCCCCTTCTTTTTTATTACAAAGGACAGCTCTCTGGGAGAGGTCAGAGAACAGATACAGCAGGAAATGCAGGTGATATAAAAATGAAAGATATCAAAAATTTATTTTAAAAAAAGAAGTGGGGGGGTGGAGCCAAGGTGGCAGCGTACAGGCAGCGACCCAGCTGAATCCTCCCAACATTCCCCTCCAAACAACTTTAAAATAACATCTTGAATCTAATTTTGGAGTGGGAGAGTCAACAGAAAGTCAGTGACAGGAGAGGTCTGTGACACTGGGGTGGGAGCCAGGCAGGAGTGCAGCAGAAGCAACAATGGTGGGCCTCCAAGACAGCCATGACAGCGGCAGCAGCTTGGGAGCTCTCGGCCCACAGCCAGTAAGGGAGCTGGAAAGTGAGATGTGAAATCCCAACAGCACTGTTACCAAACAAAGAATCAGGGAAGGTTGTGTATGTCGTACATGTGTATGTAGAACCCCAGTTCTACGTTCGGTAAAAGCACTGTTGGGATTTCACATCTCATTCTGATTTGTACTTCTGCGAGTACAAGTACTGTGTGTTGCCTCTCATCAGATTACTTCTCCAGGACATGGGGTCACAGAATTTTATAGATCTATTGCTGAAGGGAACCTTAGATTCCATTAAATCCAGCCCTCACGTTTGATAGACAAAATACACATACACACACACTGGTCAGAAAGAAATTAGAGGGGACCTTCTGCTGGCACTGGGTAATCTGCACTGATTGGCAAATCTACTGCCAGTTCTGAGTCATAGTTTTAGCACTAGCCTTTGCAGATGCATGGGAGCAGGGAACCTGGCCACAGGTCTGAAGTAGCACTAACACTTGTGCCTACAAGGGAGCAAGGCCCCTTCCCGGGTAGTGAAGACCAGAAGAGCAGTGACCACACCTCTCTCTGGATCACACCACCTCAGAAGCACCAAAAACTTGCAGGCTCCCAGAACTGGCTCCGAAAATAGCAGCATGAAAAAGCCTGAAGCTTGGGACAGTGCCTCCCTGCCCACAGGTAAGCAGAGCCCAACTTTAACAAAAAAAGAACTTGACCATAAAAAGCTACTAGCGTTATGGAAGACCAAGACACAAACTCAGAAGACAAAGGTGAAAAGTTACAAGCAAAGTTCCAAGGAAAGATGCTAATCGGACCCAAGCCCATCAAGAATTTCTGGAAGAGTTAAAGAGAGAAATAAGAGAGGTTCATGCTGGAAAATGCTCCACATCCAGGGAAAGAACTGTGGAGAGTGACTGCAGATCGAAGCAGACTCTTTGCTCTTTTTCTTTTCTTCTGTTTTCTTTTCTTTCTTCTTGTGGTTCCTCTTTTGGTTCTAATTCTTCTTTACAACATGACTAATGTGAGAATATGTTTAATAGGAACGTATATGTAGAGCCTCTATCAGATTGTGTGCTGTCTTGGGGAGGGAGGGAGGGAGGGAGAGAAAACTTAAAACTCAAAAGCTTATGGAAGGGATTGTTGAAAACTAAAATGAAATTAATTAATTAAAGAAAGAGATAAGAGAAGTAGAGGAAAAACTAGGAAGAGAAATGAGATTGATGCAAGAAAGTTATTTTAAAAAAGAATTAACAGCTTGGTAAAAGAGGCACCAAAAAAATTGAAGAAAAGAACTCCTAAAAAGCAGAACAGGCCAAATGGAAAAAGAGGTACAAAAACTCAGAGAAGAAAATAATTCCTTAAAAATTAGAATCAGGCAACTGGAAGCTAATGACTGCATAAAACATCAAGAGACAACAAAACAAAATCAAAAGAATGAATTAAAAATAGAAGAAAATGTAAAATAGCTCATCAGAAAAAAAACTAACCCGGAAAACAGACTGAGGAGAGTTAATTTAAAAATTACTGGACTACCTGAATGTCATGATCAAAAAAAGTCTAGCCATCATATTTCAAGAAATTATAAAATAAAACTGCTCCAATATCTTAGATCCAGAGGGTCAAATTGAAATTAAAAGAATCCAACAATCACTTCCTGAAAGAAATCCCAAAATGAAAACTCCCTGGAATATTATAGCCAAATTTCAGAGCTCCTGGGTCAAGGAGAAAATATTGCAAGCAGCCAAAGAGAAACAATTCAAATATTGTGAAGCCAAATCAGGCTCACACAAGATTTAGCAGCTTTCACCTTAAAGGAGCTGGGGGCTTAGAATATGATATTCTAGAAGGCAAAGGAGCTAGGATTACAACCCAGAATAACCTTTCCAGCAAATCTGAATATAATCCTTAAAGGAAAAAAAATTAATATTTAATGAAATACAGGATTTTAAAGCATTCCTATGAAAAGACTGGAGTTGAATGGAAAATTTGACATTCAAACACAAGAATCAAGAAAAACATAAAAAGACACGAAAGAGTAATCAAAAGGATTCTATAAAGCTAAACTGTTTACATTC